CTAATGGTCAGAATGCAAACTGCCCATGTGAAAGGGCCCTAAGGGCAGCAAGTTATAAATTGTACCAATCATGTAGACCTTCACACTACAGAGATTGGCACACCTGGTAACCTTGCAGGAAGCGATTATGGCAAAGCCAGAATTTTTATCAGATTGCCGGGTCATAACTAGTATTGTGAAATCTGTGGAATTCTTACTGTAGAGATGTAAACAAAAGTGACATCATTTCTCCAAGTCAGGCACGCGGTGTTGTGAGCTGGTGCAAACACAGGAGGTGGGGTTCTGCAATGTTCCTCCTCTCTCTGGTCTCCGCTCACCTCCCACTTTATTGCTCCCACATGTGACATTGCTAGTTCCCCCAGGTCTGCTGATCCTCTGCCACCGAGTCCTCTCTCTCTGGCCCCGCACACCTCCCGCTATAGCTTTCCCATGTTGCACACCACGTGTGCTGTCTTGTTAATTGTTACACTCCTGACCCCACACGTTACGTCTGCACCAGACACTTCCACAATATATACACATGCACCAGACGGGACTGCTTATGACGTCTTTCCAGTTCGTTTGTTGGTTTCTCAGTGCATCCTGGGATCTCATACCTGCAATGCCACCTAGGCAAAGCGAATGCTGAATAAATGCCGCTCAAAAAGCTGCAGGTGCTGTTAGCAAGTTTGGTCATAGACTTCTATGGAGGCTTTGGAGATGCTCTGAAGCACCAAGAAAGCAACACTGGGTATCCTTTTTGAACCAAAGCAAATGCACTGTATAAACATGACTGTAAGCTTAGCATTTTATTTAGTGAGAGGTGCTTTTATTGGCATTCACAGCCTTTAAAAAAAAGCGCGTCAATGCCACAATTAGAAGCAAGTGTAAACAAGCCCTAACAACCAATCAACACGCAGGTAGTGTCCAGCAGCCTCTAGTAACAGATCAGGGGTAAAAAGACTTCAGAAATAGTTATGGTGATCATAACCCCTTCGCGCCAGCGCCTCCCGGCCCTTTAAGGGTTTCAGAAGCTGGGAGGCGGGGTTTAGGGTCATGCGACTGCCGTGACACGCGGTCACATGATTGGGAAAGGTCCCGATCGAAAGAGGAGATCGGGATCTTTCCGTGAGTACCGGACATGTGTGCTGGGTGCGCGCACTCTCATCACGTTTTTTTGTTTTTTATAATAGAACATAAATGTGTGGAGGCCACGCATTTGCGTGAGGCCGGCGTGAAGAGGTTAATAACAAGCAGGCAATCACAATGGTCTGTAAACCTGAGAACAGTTTGCACTATGCTCCTCTAATATGTAATGTCTCCTATTATAACCTGTAAGTAGCCTCTGAGCCTGGGTTCACACTTGTGCAGTATATCGCATGTGATTCGCACAGGTACCGCACTCCTGTATGGTTCAAATTGCACCACAACCGCACAAAAAGGAGCAGGACCCTTCCCCCCCCCCCCCCCCCCCCCCCAGCACTAGAATCTGAAGGCATTGGTATTCACACCCATGTGATCCATTTCTGTACATCACACTGCCTTTTGCAAACCGATTTCGGGGAGTTGTTACATACATACACGGGGTGCGATTATGTGGTGCAGAAACCAGTGCAAATTCTGCACCGCATCAGCGTGAAGCTAGGCCGACAGTCCCTTGAAACTATTGGGCAGTCTCATTAAAGCGGCATACGGCCACCAACAGTCTATTAATCCAGTAGCAGCTTCTTGTGGTCTGTTGTAATGAGCCAAGTAAAAAACTCGAAGCTCCTGACTCCCTATTTACCAGTCATCAGGATTAGGTGCTGTTTGGTAAAAGACGGTTATTTAGCCCCACCCACATCCAGGCAGACTTTGACATGTGTGGTTTCCTCATATTGAGGTCTCTATAAACACAGTCACATGAAGTGTAAAAAATCCAGCATCTGTCTCTCCTCCTCTCAGCTTCACTAAAGTCCAATCTGATTTCTTGCTAATGGAGGCGATATGTCAACTCCTCAACACCGGTTTTAACCCAGTAAATGCCAAATTGCTGCAATGCAACTGCATGCATTACACACAGTTGCAGTGAGGTTGCAGTGCAGTCCCATTTACTTGAATGGGTTTCATTCAGCTTTGATGCTGAACATGATGGGGGTATAATTGTGTACCCCCATGACATGTGTACATCACCCAGCTGGTTGCCTTTGCAGCTTAAGAGGAAATGGGGCAGTAAAAGCCCAGCTGAACTGCCCATTTTGACCACCCCTAACCCCCAAGTGTATACGAACCCTAAGGGATTGTTCACTCTAGCTGCTGAAAGGTGGTAAAACCTTGTGGTTGAGAGGCATTTTTACTGCCCCCCAATCATTCTCCCTTTAGCTGTAGAGGCAGCAGCGGGGGATGTACACATACCACAGCAGGAATTATTTTCCCTCTCATTTTTAGATTGTAAGCTCCACGAGCCCTCACATTCCTTCTGTACTGAAAGTATTGTACTGTCTCCCTTATATTGTAAAGCACTGCACAAACTGTTGGCGCTATATAAATCCTGTATAATAATAATTTTTTTTTGGCGGGAGCTCTGCAAATGCCCAGCTGTGTGCTATGTACACTGTCGTGGCACTCTAATTCAGGGTTCAGGGAGGTAAAACAGGTGGTAAGGAAGCGATATAATACCGCCTCACCTTCTGTGAAATTCTCTCTGAAGAGCGATTCGAACACAGATTACTCTTCAGAGAGCAAGGCAAGTGTGAACGAGCCCTAAGGCTAGGTTCACACCTATGCGGGTTGCACTTGGCCCATTTCTGCACTGCGTTTTTGATGCGTTTGAGGTTTTGTTTAATTTTTTCTTCTTGTTGCCAAGCAGATTTAAAAACACAAAAAAATGCACTACATGCTTTTCTGCAGCGTTTCCATTGAAGTCTATAGAACCAAAAATGCAACTTTTTTTTTTTTTTTTTTTTTTTTTTTTTAAATGTAAAAAAATAAGTCTCTGACCCTTTCCAAAAAACGCACCAGGTGAAAATGCGGAGATGAGAACATGTCCCATAGGAAATCATGTTAAATGGACTGTACTGCGTTTTTGCACCTAGGATAAGAGATTTCCTTCCACTTTGGAGAGATTTTCTCACTGTTTTTTTTCTTTGGCATGGGACCAAAAAACTGGGGCTCTAGACATTTGATCCAAAAGTAATAGATTTAGGTCCCTTTCAAATAATCACTTCACCTACCAGTTCCTTTATATGGATCTAGACCAATGGTACTCAACCTTCCTAATGCTGTGACCCTTTAATACAGTTCCTCATGTTGTGGTGACCCCAAACCATAAAATTATTTACCCAGTAGCTATAATTCATGAGTGTCGTTTTACCTCCAATACTGCTGCTTTCTACACAGCAGCTGCTTTCTACACAGCAGCTGCTTTCTACACAGCAGCTGCTTTCTACACAGCAGCTGCTTTCTACACAGTAGCTGCTTTCTACACAACGGAAATATGTGTTTTTCAATGGTCTTAAGCAACCCCTGTGAAAGGGTTGTTTGACCCCCAAAGGGGTCGCGACCCACAGGTTGAGAACCACTGATCTAGACAATGTGGGTGGGTAGGTAGGTATGGATGGATGGGTGTGTCTATTAGCCCATGTTCACATACGATTCAGACCGGTGCACTCTGAGCTCATTCATTTTGCATGGACTACTTCTGGAAACCCACTACAACCGGACCATATGGTATTTTTGCACCATGCAATCCGGTACAGGCAAACGGCGTTTGTGACCCGTTTTTGGTTTTTTGTTTACATTAAAGCGGAGTTCTACTCATCCTGTCAAAAAATAAAAAAGTCATCTACAAAAACTGTAGCTGCTGACTTTTAAAAAAAAAAAAAAAAAAACAGCCATTTACCTGTCCCTCGGTCCCGTGGTGTGTCCCCCACAGCCGTTTCACCGGCCGTCCTGGATGCCGGCATCTTCAGTGTGGGCACCCGGCTGTGACTGCTTGCAGATTCGCAGCTGGGTACCCACTGTGCATGCGCATGTAGCGCTGCACTTTATGAATGGTCCTGTAGTCTTCTGGGACCTGTCATGTGTCCCAGAAGACTACAGGGAGGGAGGACGCCTTCCGTTTCCGGTCACCTAGGCGGTCCGACCGCAATTGGGAGCCGGTACCTGTCAAATTCGGGTACCCGCTCCCCCCCCACCCAAAGGTGCCAATCCTTGAGAAGCAGTCCTTAAAGCGGAACTTGCCCTTTTGGCTGGAGCTCCGCTTTAACACCTGCTGCAGATCGCAACTGCAGTGCATTTTGAATGAAGTGCGGAAAACGTGCACAGATTGTGGTTTCCCACACAACATTCTAGTGTGAACCGAGAAGGAGGAGCTAAGGCACGTTCAGAAGGAGGAGCTAAGGCATGTTCAGACACGAGTCCAAACCCACCTAAGCTATCCCGCCAGGAAGTTGTCAGCCAATCAGAGCCACTTCCTGCCCTGGATATACCTACCTGGGCTCATCCCTAGTGTCTACTTATACCCACCTACAGCAGAGTCAGTTATTATATAGGTTTAGGACAAGGTCTGCATCACTTTCTGCTGTTGACCTGACAAAATCAGATGAATGCAGACAGACACCCGGCCACCAGGGTCCGGCCACCCATAGAATCTAGATGGGTCCATTTTTCCTTCATCAATGCAGTTTGTTTCTTCATTGCCATTCACAGATCTCTAGAACTCTCCTGTAATGTGTCTCCAACAACCCCTACAGCAGGTCTGCAGTCCCTGACAATCTCTTGTAGTCATTCACTGAATATTGTGTGTGGCCCTTGGGTGACAGCAGGGGCCACACTTGAGTATGTGTATATATCTCTCATCCCTGCTCATATCTCACCATTAGCCCAGCCCCTGCCATCTCCTGCTCCTATAGAAAGTTACATGCTGTCACCCCCTATGTACTGGCAGCCAGCACTGTTTGTGTCCAGAGCCTGGAAGCAGGAAGTGTGTACTGCATGTCCTCCCACAGCTGCCAGCAGACAGAGAGCCCCAACCTGTGTACCTTGCCGCCGTCGCCTTCCTCCATCGTCAGAGAAGCCATGCTGCAGCGGGACAGCTCTGCTCGTCTTCCCGGGATTGCCGCCCTCTCACTAGAACGTTTCCTGACTCCACCGGCGTCCAATTCCGCACGGGACACACCCACATCTTCCATCTGTCACGCCCATACAACTTACCAAACCACGCCCCCATAAGAGCACACAGCCTGCTATACGGCCACGCCTTCTTTTCAGCACTAGTACGTTATCCCTGCCACTTGGCCACGCCCAATGTTTTTATAGGTGCAAAGACTTGCCGCCAGACCTCGCCCACACTGGTATTCTCCGCCTCTATGCTCAACCACGCCCACGCTGTTATTCTACGCCCATACCTGCCTTCTCCGCCCATACTGCCAGACCCCCGCCTACACGCCTGATCCTTTCCAAAGTGACATTCTCCGCCTATACGTCAGACTCCGCCCACATTGACATTTCCTTGCCTATATAAGTGGGAGCCAAGCTCCCCGTCAAGGTGTTGTATTCTGTTTCGTTCCAGAAGGACCTGGAAGCGGAGTCATTGAGTGCTGAGCTGGAACCTGCCATCGGATCACGTGTCCTCTCATTATTATACTTAGAGTGGAACTGTAGGCAACACTTTATTTTTGTCATTTTGGACAGAGTAAGGGGGGGGGGGGTTATAACACCTGACAGGTTTATGGAAACATTAACCGATTCTAGGGATTCCACAGGTATGTCCCCCATTCTGTATATTCTATGGAGGGTGCAGGTCAGGCTATAGGAGTCCGCCCTGACTCCATGTAATCTGTAGAACAAGGAGATGAATCTCAGCCTATCTCCATCTAGTCCACACTTGGGGGGGACACGCTGGGTTTGCATGGTTTGCTGAAAGTAGCTCCTTACTCTGTTAGGTTTATGTTTGCCATCTGTGTCCCTATTGATGAGGTTTCCATTCTTTTTCTGTCCCATAGCCAAGGCTGCTTGCTCTGGTGGCACATGTGTGTGCCTGATCCTGAGCCACACTCTGTGTGTCCATTGACCCACACAGTGCTGCTCATTACCCCGCTCCCTCGTCACTGGTTTTGACTGACAGCACAGGCCGCCAATGGCTCCTGCTGCTCAGGCACAGCTCCCAGGATGACATCCACCCCCCCGGCACAGCTCCAGGATGACATCCGCCCCCCCGGCACAGCTCCCAGGATGACATCCGCCCCCCCGGCACAGCTCCCAGGATGACATCCGCCCCCCCGGCACAGCTCCCAGGATGACATCCGCCCCCCCGGCACAGCTCCCAGGATGACATCCGCCCCCCCGGCACAGCTCCCAGGATGACATCCGCCCCCCCGGCACAGCTCCCAGGGTGACATCCGCCCCCCCGGCACAGCTCACAGGGTGACATCCGCCCCCCGGCACAGCTCACAGGGTGACATCCGCCCCCCGGCACAGCTCACAGGGTGACATCCGCCCCCCGGCACAGCTCACAGGGTGACATCCGCCCCCCCGCCACAGCTCACAGGGTGACATCCGCCCCCCCGCCACAGCTCACAGGGTGACATCCGCCCCCCCGCCACAGCTCACAGGGTGACATCCGCCCCCCCCGCCACAGCTCACAGGATGACATCCGCCCCCCCCGCCACAGCTCACAGGATGACATCGCCCCCCCCCCCCCGGCACAGCTCACAGGATGACATCCGCCCCCCCGGCACAGCTCACAGGATGACATCCACCCCCCCGGCACAGCTCACAGGATGACATCCGCCCCCCCCCCCGCCACAGCTCACAGGATGACATCCGCCACAGCTCACAGGATGACATCCGCCCCTCGGCACAGCTCACAGAATGACATCTGTCACTGGCACAGCTCACAAAATGCATCCACCGGGTACTGCCAAAGCCATGATTAGGACCGGGAGGGAGAATGTGACACCATCCAGCAGCCCGCAGCCTCTCGTGGATCCCAGCGGAGACTGCTGAAAACATAACCGCTCCTGTGTGAGGTGTCTCCAGAAATGATTAATCTCCTCTACACCATCATCAGGAGATGTTGCAGTGCCTCACCTGCTTCTCCTTTCTCTGTCACCTGCTATATGTGTCCATTTTAGTATAGTGTCTGAACGGATCAATATCTTTGATCAGATCAGCACTATACCAGCGTTCACATTAGTACAGTGTCCCCAAAAATGCAGTGTTGGGATCAGCCCTGGAACCTGCCAGCACCTGAGTTTAGCCCCTACACTTACCCCTCCCCCAGCAAGTGCAGTGTCAGCAGGTCATTGTCACTTGACACACCGCACACAAAACCGTGTTTGCAGAATCAGGCTTGATCTCTGTTAGCACTTGCAGGTAAAGTTTTTTTGTAGCGGTTCAAGCAGTCCCTGACAGCCAGGTGCTCTTTTTTTTCCAGTGAGTCACACTAGGTGCCTATAAATTTAGTGGCCAAAATGTCAATGGAAAGGTTCTCTAGTGAAGAGGCCTACAGGATTCTGATCATGACAGGTGAGAGTGAAGGGGAAGACTCACTGACACAATCAGCCTCAGAATACGAACCTTTGGACAGCAACGGCACCCTGACAGATAGCTCAGACGATGGAGAAGAGGTCTCTGCTAAGATCAGGCGTACCCGACCCCATTCCCAGGTTGCTGGGATGTTACAAACGCATGATGACTCTCAGCAGCAGAGTGCCAGTACAAATGCCGCTTTACCTTTTGGTGAACTGTTGAGCACCAGTGGCCTAGTACATCCTGGTCTTTCACATACCAGCACTGCAGTATCACTTGGTGACGTGGCGAGTCCCATAAGTACAGTACAAGCTGGTGCGGTGGTGAGCACAAATATTGTCCCACAACTACCGGGAATTCACACACAGGCCCGTAGAGCCCCTAGTATCCTTCCGGATGTGCTTGCAAATCCAGATTGGCAGCCCACAAATTCTGCAGCACCCGTAGTTCCCCCATTCACTGCCCATCCTAGAATTCAAGTGGAAACAGCAAATTTAAATACTCCCCTTGATTTTTTTTGGAGCTGTTTTGCACAGAAGATCTGTGTGCATTGATTGTGGATCAAAGCAATTTATATGCACAACAGTTTATCGTCGCTAACCCAAATTCAAACCTTGCCAGACCATTCGCATGGAAACCCATTATGGTTTCCGAATTTAAAGTTTTATTTGGGCCTATCCCTCAACATGGGCATTACTAAAAAAAATGAATTGTGGTTGTATTGGTCCACAGACCCGATTCATCATATGCCCGTGTTCTCTGCTGCTATGGCCAGGCATAGATATGAGAGTATAACGTGTTTTATGCATTTCAATGACAATACACTCTGTCGCCCTTGGGGTGAACCTGAATTTGATCAGCTCCACAAAATTTGGCCCCTCATAAATCACCTTAACCAAAAATTTGCAGATGTTTATACTCCCCAGCAAAACATCTGCATTGATGAGTCCCCCGCATTTTTCTGGCCTCCTTGCATTCAAACAATTTCTCCCCAGCAAGCGTGCCAGATATGGGGTCAAGATATATAAGACCTGTGAGAGGGCAATAGGCTATACATATAAGTTTCGGATTTATGAGGTAAAAGATAGTCACGTGGAGCTCCTGGGATGCCCAGACTACATGGGAAACAGTGGCAAGATAGTTTGGGACTTGGTGTCATTCTTTTTCCATATGGGGTACCACTTATACATGGACAATTTTATTCAAGCGTGCCACTATTTAGACATTTGTACAATCTTGGAATTGGCGCATGTGGCACCATGCAACCTAATCGCTGGGGCTTCTCCCAATGGCTTGTAAATACCCGTCTTAAAAAGGGAGAAAAAGCCTGCTTGATAAATGAGGAATTGCTCACAGTGAAGTGGAAGGATAAACGGGAAGTTTTCCCGAGTCATCTTCCAGGACAGCTTCACATGAGAGATAGGCTCCTCCCAGGAAACAATCGATCCACTTTCTTTTCCATAAACAGCCTAGGGGACCCTCCGTACCAGGAACTACTCTCGTTTTTGTTTTTTTTGGCATGGCTATCTGGCGGGGTGCAGAGGCCTCCTGGATGGGGCTACCCCTTCCTTCTCTTCTCATGCAAGCCAGAGGCCTTGCGGGGTGGCCTTACCAGGGTTCCTTAAACAGCCTCCCTTTCTTTCTGGGGTTGGGGGTGGCAGCACCCCTCTCTATGGTCCTACGGGGCTCTCCAGGGGTAAAAGAGCCCGCTCCGCCGACCTGTTAGGAAGGGACCGCTACCCTCTGGGGCAAAACAGCCTACCTTCCTCTGGTGCACACTGACATCTCTGGCGAGGAGGCACAGGTAGGTCACGTCACGGCCGGGATAGTCATTTCTGGCCACCGGGACCCGCGAGCTTCATTTCCGGCGCTCGAGGAACAGGAAGAGGCCCACCGCCATCTTGGACATGGGCAAAGGGCCGCAAGTTTGCCCCACGCCACAGCTGCTTCATCCACCACGGCCGTGAGGGGAGGTTGGTGCACGCTCACCCAAGGGAGGGGGCGAAGCCCCGCTACCCTACAAACAGCCAAGCTGAGGGCAGGAAAGCGGCTAGAATAGAGGCAGATCTGTCCGAGCTGGGGGAGGCCAGCAGCAAGGTAGGAGCCTGGTGGCTGCCACATCCCCTCCCTCTCTACCCCTTGTGCTCTGATCTGGATCTTGGGGAGGGGGTATGAGGCCCTTCCCACCCCCACCACCACTCTTCTCTCTCTCCAGCACCTTGAGGGTTTATTTTGCGGGCTGCAAGTGGGTGCACGTTAGTGGGTGTCCCCCAGGGCCCTCATCTTACAGGAGGCCTATACCTTGTGTCTCCCTGTCCTTAGATGGGCCCACAGGAGGAGGAGAGAAGGGATATGGAGGCCCTCTGCGAAACTAAGAGAAAATGCGTTACCTGCAAGAAGAGACTCGTTAGCGCTTGCAAAAAGCAGCTGTGCCAGGAGTGAATTGAGAAGCTGATTAAGAGTCGGGGTCCTTCTTCAAAGATTTTCTACAAAATATGACGCAGGAGATGTCCAAAATCTTTAGGGAATAAATGCAGGAACTGGGCCT